GCACCTCAAGGAATAGGTGCTGATATTACCCTTTAAAATTCACCCTGTCCGTAGGAATGGAACTATGAAACACAATGCTTTAAGCATATGACCTAAAAAAGAAGACCATGGTCTATTATATCCAAAACAGATTGCACTATAAGGCAGTTTCTGCTTGAATGAATGCAGTTATCAATCATGTTAAATGAATTTGGCATGCCTAGCAACACCTATTTTCCATGAGTACATCCATTTCAATAATTCTCATTTTTCTCTACAGAGCAAATAAATCAGGAATCAATGCTGAGACATGCTGTACAGAAAAGCATAATTTATTTCATTGCAGTTTCCCCTAAGATTAAAAAAAAACATATAACAACTTTCTTCAAGATTTAAGTATGTCAAGTGTTGGTTAATAGATGGCCATATGAAACCTGAGATTCATCTAGTATCAATGCAAAATATTATTATAAAAACAAAGAGTCTTGTGGCACATAAAGGACCAATTTATTTCAGCTCAAGCCTTTGTGAACTACAGTCTATTTATTCAGATGCATGGAGAGCAGCTTCATGATACAGACAATTATACAGACATGAGCTGGAAGAAATATAGAACAGAACCAGAATGTAATAGAAACAGAAAATATGCTAGCATGTGATGGTATGATACATACACTCTCAATGGTGTTCTGAAATGGATTCACATGGTTCTTTGTATAAAAACATCATTGTGGACATAGGATCATTGATATATATGTTTCATTTCCTAGAAAGGCAAAATTTTAATACCATGAATAGGGTACAAATAAACATCATAAGCAAATGATTTAACCATGACATCATACTGAAAGCATCTCCCAGTATTCCTCTTTATTAAATCAGCTATTGTGTGTAGTTGAGGGTCAAATTAGATAATACAAAGAAAACCTTTTCCTTGATATTAACTTCCAAGTTAATTTGTTTAGCTCCCAAAATGCAATATATCTTCTTGAACCCTATTCCTTCAGAGAAATTCACCTTGGCAGATACTACACTTTAACAATTTGATTACTTTTTCACTTACCAAACATACTACTGCTAGTAAACATGTACCAAAGTCCCTCGGTTACCCCATTATTCTTTCTTTCTCTTTTCAATGCCAGTCCTTTTTCTCTCTTCTCTCTAACACTCATAAGGCAACTCTTTGTTTTAATTATCTGCTTCTGTTGCACCCAAAAACTAGAAATGCTCTCTCCTCACTGTATAACTCCAAGTGAAACCTGAAGAATGGTGCATCCTCTATGTTCAACCACCATAAAACAAATAATATGCAGAGTCAGAATGTGCTTTTCTTTCTGCTATTTGTGGAGCCAGGAGAACTAGAAGCTATTTTCCTAGAGCAGCCTGCACAGGCTTTAACAGTGGTTCCCAAACTTTTGATCCTCCAGATGATTTGGACTTCAGCTCCCAAAATTCCTGACTTTTTATCGTGTATTGTTTTGCTGGTTTTTATATTTTGTCTTTTGCTGTTTTAAAATGTCTTTAGTACTGTGGCTAGTTAACCAGCATTTTAACAATAATTTTTATATGTATTTATTTATGTCTTTGTACTTGACTGTATTTAGTTGTTCTAAGTTGCCTTGAGTCCCAGCATTTTGTGGGCAAAATATGAATGAATGAAGAGGAGGAGGGTGGGGGAAATCCATCTTTTATCTGTTTGTAGCAAGGAAGCACTGGAAAAGGTAAATTTAATCAAGGGAATTTCATCATGAAAAATTTGATGACAGTGTCTCCGTCTGTTCAGATACTCTTTCTTGTTGAGGGCAAGAAATTTGCTGAATATTCTTTTTCTGCCTATTGGGAATGAAAATCTAGTCATGGGGTCAGAAGCATCCATGTCAGATCTATGATGAGCCATGTTCCAATATTGAATCACATGCCTAAATTTGTATACTGAGCTTGTTTGTCAGATGCAAGATATATATTTGAGCCTTCTTTTGAGAGAATCTGTCTTTTTTGCCCATGTTCATTGCAGCTTCATCCTTTAGCTGATTCTTTCCCACCATTTGTGGTATATGATTTGTTTTTCTTTCTTTTATATCTGCTCAGCCTCAAGAAGACATGGCTTTCTAAACATGTGGTTTTTAATGTTCATGTCCACCTTGTTTGCACATTCAGGTTACACAGCCTAAAGAAATTTCCATGGGATCAAGATGCAGCTCCTGCTTATTGTTCCTTGAAGGACTTCTACATTGGTGCAACTTCATTAAAGTGCATTATTTGTGCCTTGCAGCTCTGGAAGGAGTCTTGTGCCTTGGATTGATCACAGCTGGATGAATGTTTCAGTTTCAAGATGGTCTATTACTTCTTTACTTGCAGCCCATAGCTAGGATCCATTCCAAGCATGCAACAATTTCTCCAGAAATACATGGGCAGGCATGGGCTTTGGCTATGACACAGGGTGATTTGCCTTAGCAGGAACAGGGTGTGGTAGCTGTTTTGGACTTGGGATTTGTGTCTTTTGGATTGATTTGAGAAATACTGGAGACATCTTCTTTGAAGAACTGCTTGCCCTGACTTTTCAGCCTCTGATTTACATAAACCACAGACAC